CATGGGCCCCCACGTGTTGCATTAATTACCTGTAATTACCTCTAATTACCTGTAATTACCTGTAAAACCTGTAATTACCTGTAATTACCTATGCGACGTAATTAACTTCAAGCACTATTTACGTCTATATTAGAGCTAGGGATTTAAAGGCTGGTAATATTACCGGTAAGATTCGGTAAAATACCCGTAAGTTACGGTAACTTACCAAGCCACAAAACGCTGGTATTTTTCGATAAGATTCGCAAATTCCCTTCTAAAAGAAAAGAGGATCAGCCAAGCGCGAGCAACATATTTTTCGGTCATTTCCTGCAAAATATTTGTCGTTTTTCTGGTTTTAATGCCCAAAACAACTTTTTTTGCACTGAGGCGGTCAATTAAGCACTGCAAATACTAGGGTCAGATATCTTGCTCATATAAGTATGAGATTAGTGGCACAAACAATACCGCTCTCCTGTCCTCAGAACGCGATTATTTTCCCCACTCTGTTTAAGTCATAATTTAAAATCCTCACTTGAAAAGAGTGAGCAGGTTTCCTCACTAAAAAGTGGGGAGGGGGGGGGTTAAAGGGTTAAACGGTCCTTAACTTGACAATCAGATTAAAAACTACCCTTCTATTTTTACCTTATAATCAAAATTTGTCTCCGTCTGTTTTTGCATATGGGTTGTAAGTCCAAATCTGGAGTTTTCGTCAGATTGGGCCCAGACATGTCAAAGGCACACCAGGGAAGCCCCAAAACTAAGGATTAAATTAAATTACGTGGACGGTCTAAAAAATGTCGGGACACGCTTGGATGATCTCTATTCTTGGATCTTTCACTCAGAGCATTAATTTTTTATGACTTTTTCTTTTGTATGTTACACTGTTCCACACTTAATCTACCGAATAGACGCGTTTACAACGGGTTATTACATGCATTTTAAGTTTTTAACGCATATTATTCCAAAATCGGCAACTTCGGCGAATATTACCAATATTACCTATAAATACGCGTAACTTACGTAACTTACGGTAACTTACCGTACGATTGAAAGAGACCGGTATTTTTAAAACCCTAGACGTAAATAGTGCTTGAAGTTAACAAGGTAGATGTACGCCAGACCACGTCTCGCGTAACAGGCTTCGCGATACCTCACGAAACACTGTTACGCTGCGACGCGCCTGGCATACATCTACCTTGGCCTGCGGCGCTGACACCCGAGTCAGGTAGTGCAAAAATGTTTACAAAGAT